CGATTTTGATTATTATTATCATTACGGAAAAAACACAATCGATTTTTTTTTATGACGTCACGTTATTTACACGACAAAAATTATTATTATTATTAAAAAATTTTAGAAATTTTCCGTACCTTAAAAAAAAAAAACAGAAAACATAAAAACATGGCAACTAATTTTTCCACATAACTTTTCCACTTAAAAATAAAAAAAATTTAACACATATTATTATTATTATTCCGTACCGTAATAATTATTATTATTATTACCGATTAAACATTTAAAAAACTTTAAAAAACATGAAAAAACTTTGTGTTTGTGTTTGTTGTTGTTGTTGATTTGTTTACACACGACGGACTGCAACTCACGACTAAGTTACGATAAGATTTTAAAACCAGATCAGACTTTTTTTTTTTACCCTGGCAATATTCTATTCTCGAACCGGAAACCGTTGCCGAAATCCTCATAAGTTAAATAGTAAATTTTTATTTAAACAAACTCGATACTTGTAAACCGGTTTTCGTCTTTTCTTTTTTCACGTCTCTTCATACTACTGTCAAAGGGTGATAGGTATGGATGGATGACCGGTTACAGGTACGAATAGAAAAAAAAAAAAGGTTTTCTTATGGTGTCCCTATAGTGGGGGAGCGGAAGTCGCAACCCTCAGATCCGGAATAATATAAGATTTTAATTCCTGTAACTATAAATATATATAATTCGAGAAAAGGTTAATGAACTTTAATTTTCCTTCTGTCGAAAGTACTAGAAGGATGATGTTTCGGATATTTTTTGTACGTGGTTTTAGACAAAAAAAATTTTAAAAAAAAAAAGGTGTAGAGAATTCATATTGTCCGTCCACCTGTGTATGTCCTACAAACAATTGGCATTTCGGAATAAAAAAAAAATCGATGGATCGTTTGTTTGTTTGTTTGTTTGTTGTACATTTTCTTTTGAAATAATAATAATAATAATAATGTTCGCATCGGTAAATTAAACGACAAAAAAAAAATTATTTGTGTGTTGTAAGGTTCTTTTTTTTTTTTCGGCTTTCCCCCTTTTTTTTTTTTTCACACCTTGCAAAAATCCATTTGTAACGTGCCTTTCTTAATAGGTTCGTACCACATTTTTTTAAATGTAATAATAATAATAATTCCATTCAATTTGTCGGCATTGATGGAAGAGATTTTTTTTTTTTTTTTATTCTTATAATATTTGCCATTTTTCTTCTTCTTACGGAGATTTTTTTTTTTTTTTTTTTTTTGTACAACATTTCCAGACTTTGCGTGTGTTACATAAAAAAAAAATATATTCTTTTTATTTATTTATTTATTTATCAGATTAATGGATTTTCATTGATAATCTAAAACTTGTTTGCAACTTGTTTTTTTTTTTTTTCCTCCATTCCACACCGCATTTTATTTTTTATACGTACAAACAAACGGGCGGTAAAATTTTTTCATTGGAAAACCACTTAAACGATACATTTTAAAACAACCAATAACACAAAAAAAAAAAAACTTATCCACGATATTTTCCGCATTTGTATTAATAATAATAATAATGATAATAATAATGATGATAAAAACTAAACGTTTTTTTTTTTTGCCTGTTTTTTTTTCTTTTTTTTTTTTTTATTATTAAATAATAAAATTTAATTTATTTAACGACGACATTTTATTAAAGGTTATTAACAAATCAAAACTATTAATTTATCCGGCGGATTATTATTATTATTATTATTATTAAAAAATACGACGTGACGTGTGTGTCCGTGTGTTGGAAAAAGTTTAAATACCCGATCGATAATAAATAAATAAATAATTTTTACAGAGAGAGAGAGAGAGAGAGATAGAGAGGGAGAAGTGAATTAATATTTAGAATATTTAAGTTAATTATTATTTAAAGTTTGTCGTCGTTTGTTTGTTTGTTTGTTGGTATTGTTTGTTGCCTGAGAAAAAATTAAAAATTAAATGAGTGCGGAAAATTAAAAAAAATGGACGTTAAAAAAAAAAAAAAGAAAACATGGAGTAGGGATTTAAATTTTAAAATAGAATTTACTACACTCGTATAAATCACACCGGAAAATTGGGAATGAGTTGTCTGGTGACACGCACACGCACACGCACAAACACACACACACACACACGAAAGGAAATTAATAATAATAATGATAATAATTAATTGTATCGGGGGAAAAATATATGCGAGAGGGATAAAATTTGTTTAACGTGGTAAAATGGTAAAAAAAAATTTTTTTTTTAAATAAAATGGCGGCAAAATAATTCAATCAAATATTTTATTAATAATAATAATAATAATAATAATAATAGGAGGTAATAAAATAAAAGGGGCAACGTGCTTTTACATAAAAGAAAATTTTTTATTGGAGAGAATCAACCACCTCATATTAAAGTCTCCAAACATGGTGTCGGATTGTGGCACAATGTTTACTCTTTTCAATAACACAACAGACAATAACACCACATTTTTTATTATGTTTATTTATTTATTTATTTTTCTTCTTCTTCTTTTCTTTCTTTTGGGACGTAAAGTATCTTTCGGTCGAGTTGGAATGTTGTGGGAATTTTTTAAAATAACAATAACAAGTGGATTTCTTTTATTTTTTTTACCACCACTCAGTTTAAAAAAAAAAAAAAACCATAAACGAATTGTTTAAAAAAAAAAAAAACCGTTTAATGACTTTTAACCTTGTTTTTTTTTTATTAATTATTATTATTATTATTAATATCGATTTGTTATCGATAAGACTTTATTTTGGAATAAATGTGACATAATTTTTTATGTAAAATTTTTTTTGTCATTATTTTTTTTTTTAATAAATAAATAATTTAAAATTGTAATTTTTTGACGTCATCAAGGTCTTCCGGATCATTTTTCTAAAAAAAAATTTTTTTTATTTATATAATTAATTAATTGTATATAAAATTTGGTTTTAAACGTGATAAACGATTTTTAAAAAAACATTTTGTCGTCGTCCATTTTTTTTTTATAAATAAAAAAATCTTTCTCTCTCTCTCTCACTCGTTATTATTATAATTAAACGGTGGACAAAATAATTTTTTTTTTTTTTTTAAATTATCTAACGGTTCACCACCACGAGTTAAAAAAAAAAAATATAAATTGTTGACTGACGTGATTATAGAACGACAAACACAACAACAACAAACACAACAAACACACTTTTATCTCCTGCTGTTTATTATGTTCATCTTTATAATTATGATTCCTGATGCCATTCTTGACAATTTTTTTAAACATTCTCATCATCATCATCATCATTACTTTGAATGATTTTAAAGTGATTGAAAAAAATGATTTGTTACTATTATTATTATTATCGTCATGAATTCATGAGAAATTGTTAGAAAGAGAGAGAGAGAGAGAGAAAATTTTGTTTTCTTACATCGAAACAATAATTAATGACTCAAAAAAAAAAAAATTTTTTTTTTTTTTAAATAAATGATTCAGTTTATTGAAATTTTTTTTTTTTTTTTGGGAAAAGCCACACCTTTTCTGACATACAATATCAAATGTGCAAATGAAACAATATATATTATTATTATTATTATTATTTCTTTTTATAAAAGTTGATGAACCCTTTTTCCGTATATGTGTATGACACGATGACAATTTTTTTTTTTTTTTATTATTATTTTCTCTATTGCAAATTTCCTTTTTTTTCTCTTCTGTTTTATTTTCCACTCCTTTTGTTTTGTTTTTTAAAAGTAATATATATTCTTTTGTTTAAACAAAATGCACATTTTTTTTTTTACAATGTTTTTTTGTTTATTCAAACATTGTCGTGCTGTTTACATTCATCTAGAATAATTTAAAATTTAAAAAAAAAAATAAAAAATTTAAAGTTCTTTAAACTTCCTTTACTCTTTCCTAACCTTTTCCACCAAAATTTTAAAAAGTTATTTAAATTTTTTTTTTTTACATCAATTCATGTAAAAAAATTAACTTAAATATTATTTTATATAATTTATCGACTGTTAAAGAGTTAAATTAATTAATAGAAACATGAAAAGCGAGAAAGTAATAAAAATAAAAAAAATAAAAAAAATTTTTTTCTTCTCAAAACCAGCATGTATAATAAATACGTGTTGTCGTACCGGGGAGTCAAATGTGTGAATGAGTTAAATAATTTAAAAAGTATATATATATATATATTTTATTCATGTGCGTGTGTGCGTGCGTGTGAGTGTTTTTATGGAAATTGATTATAATTCATTACTAAAAAAAGTTGTGTAGTACTTGCCCTAAAAAAAAATAAAAACAATAAAATTATTTAAATTATTATTATTTTGGTGAGAGTAAACAGTTAATAATTTCTTTTCTTTTCTTTTCTTTTCTTTTAGATTGTGGTAAATTAAGATTCAACGTAAATAATGAAACGGAAAGTAATAATAATAATAATTTTTTTAAATATTATTTAAATTTAAAATCGAGCGCCTTGAAAATTTTACGTTAGGCAATTTGTCATGCACGACAATTACGAAATTGCCTAACTTGAAAAAATTCGTTGCCATTTTTTTTTTTTTTGTAGTGGCTAACGAACCGTGATTGTATTAAGAAGTGATTGTTTTTAAATTAAATTATGATTTAAAGATAAAAACTTATTCGGATTTTTCGGAAGAAAAAAGAAGGAGTTTAAAAGGTTAGTAAAAAAAAAAATTTAATAAATAAAATAAATTGTTTAATAAATATGACTTTAAAAAAAAAAAATATTAATGTAACAAAGAAATGTGTTTACTGTAGTTTAAGACAATTGTATTGAAGTTCTTTTGATTCAGCATGTTTTCATGCAATTACTATTTTAAAATTTATTTTCACACTTTTTAAATTCAATTAAAATGCACAGAATAAAATTATTAAGTTTAACATTCGATATTTTTCATTGAATTTTTAAAAATTATTTATAAGTAAATATGCTAAATTTATAGATATAGGTATTTATTTGAAATCGTTTCTAAATACTTTTTCATTGCATTTTATGATTTTTTCCAATAAAAATACATGGTTATACCAATTATAGGAGCTAAAAATGAAAATAAAAGAAAAATATTTTTTATAGCTACATATTTAGTTCCTTTAACAGCTTCGATTAAAGTCATGTTTAATTCGAAAACTTTAATGCTCTCTTTAATTAATAATTCTTTTTTATTTTCATCTAAATTTTTAGCAATTTCATTTATTTTATTTTTTAAATTTGCTTTTACATCTGATATTTTAACATTTTCAAAAGTAGTAACAGCTGTTCCTAATTTATCTTTTCTTCCAGTAATTTTTGCTTGAAATTCACGTTTTTTTTGTAATATTTGCCCACCCGATAATAATCCCATATAAAGATGATAAACATAAGCCATTAATAAATCAGGATCTGTTTTTGTTAATGTTTCAAGATGTTGAATATAGTTTTTTACACTTTTATCTAAGACATAATTTTCTTTCCAATTATCTCCCAGAAAAAATTTCAAGTCGTTTTCAAAGGCTTCAGTTCTACTCATGTCCTCCGAGTATAATGAACCCAAATATCCATTCGAGTTTTCCTTCATTTGAATTTCAAGAAATTTGAATACTTCGTAAAAAAGCAAAAGTGCTTGGCTCCAAACAGAGTCGTCATTAAGAGCTAAGAAAGCAAAAAATTTTTTTTCAATAATTTTTAAGAATTTTTTTATTACTGAAATATTATTTTTAAAAAAAACGTACTAACCAAATACAAATTTTGCATTAACCATTGAATCTGTAATGGCATGAACTTTCTTAACAGCTTTTCTCATAGTTACAGTAAATAATTCGTCGGACATGATTAAATTAATAATAATATAACAATAAAATTTTATAAACAATAAAAATTCATTGATAAATTGCCTAATCAAAAATATTATTTGTTTACATTTTAAATAAGCGACGTTGATTCTAGTGACACGTTCTTGTTCTCGAATAATGATAAGGAAAATTACAGTAACGGCAAACTGTAGTCCGCTGTTTTTTTTTAAAAGTCGTTATAAATTTAAATCTTTTTTTGCAAATAGTTCCACAACTACATTTCGGTTTATTTCAAACATGTCTAACTGTAAATATGCGGGTAAAATAAAAGAATTTATTCCAAAATTAACTCCGACACTTCATAAAGGTCAGTGTGGAAGAATAGGTATTATTGGCGGTTCTGCAGAATACACGGGTGCTCCTTATTTTGCTGCAATATCCGCTTTGAAATTAGGAGCTGATTTAGTGTATGTATTTTGTTGTAAGGAAGCCGGTCCGGTTATTAAATCTTACAGTCCTGAGCTGATTGTACTTCCTATTTTAGACAGTGGTAATGTCACAGAAAAAATAGAAAATTGGTTAACGCGTTTACATGCTTTAGTTATTGGACCAGGATTGGGAACAAAACCAGGTACAAAATAATAATTTTTTTCTTTTTTTTTTTTCTTACTTAAGAGAGAGTATTAAATTTTAATGTTTTTAATATTTCCTTTATTTTTTTAATTATTATAGAATTGATAAAAAATGTAGTGAACATAATTCGTTTGTGCAATGAACGATCAAAATTATCCGTTCTACCGTTAATTATCGATGCAGATGGTTTACGTATAGTAAATGATAATTTGGATTTAATTAAAAAATACCATGGCCCAGTAATATTAACTCCAAATGAAGTTGAATTCAAAAGATTGAGTTCTAAATTTTCCAATACTGAAGCGATAAATGTGGCATCATCATTAAATTCAGTTCTTATTCAAAAAGGTTCAACTGATGTTATTACTAATGGAATTAATTTCGATGAATTTGATTTTACTTTTGATGATGTTACAATAACATGTGAAACTTTTGGATCGAATAGAAGATGTGGTGGTCAAGGAGATATATTGTCAGGGTGTATTGCAACTTTTGTCGCTTGGTTTGAATTATTTAAATCGAATAATACTTTTATAATACCTTTAAGCTCTGTCAGTGATAAGGATAAACTTAATTGGTTCAAAGAAAATTTAGGGGGTTATAGTTTAGGTTGTTATGGTGCATGCGCTGTTACAAAAACTTGCAGTAAATTAGCATTTCAAAAGTTTGGTAGAAGTATGACTGCTTCCGACATGATCGGTTGCATTCATCAGTCTTTTACATCATTATTCGGTTCATAGTTTAATAAATAATTTTTTCATATTTCTTTCGATTTTATTCCCAAATTTGTTTTCATTTAAATTAAGTTAATATGTAATAATTTGTAAATATTTTTCAAATAAAACTCTTTGCCTGAATCAAAAAAAACAATCATTTCGATAAAGTTATAAGTGACTGAAAAAATTGTATATACACAGAGAAAAACGAAAAGAATTTTCTACAATTCAAATGGCATTAAAATGTAAGTGTAAAAAATATTATATTTTATTCGATATATATATAAGGGAATTATTTATATAAGATTTTTTTTTTTTTTGTTTATAAATAATTATAAATAAAATAAATTTATGAGTAAAAAGTCAAAACTGAAGTTTGGTTTCCTCTGACCAACATCATAGGTGGCATATCCCTTGATATTATTTCTAACCAGGCCATATATAGAGGTGCTGAAACCATACTTTTTCTCGGCATTGGTAAAGACCTGTTTAAAATATGAATAATAATTACAAACAGGTATTTTAAAAAAAATTTAAATCAAGTTGTAATTATTTTTTTAATAATATCTCACTGTAAAGTAATTATTATGATTATTTGATAAAATAATGTAAGAAACTTACATAACAATTAATTTGGCTTCGCTTGAATGCTGAATTAAAAATTCTCTTAATCTCAAATGTCTGTTTGTTTTTTCTCTTAGAGCTTCTAATTCTAAATCTAAAAGTACAGTATCTGAAAATAATGTTTACAATTTTTTTTTTTTTAGGTAATAATTTGTTGCTGCTGATTATTTTTCAAAAAAAAAAAAAAAATTATTTAATTATAATCATAAAATTACTTTTAACAGATTCTTCAGATTCTTCTTCTGTTTTTCCAGCATAGTCTCTTAATATTTTATTAAATAATTGTTGAGTTTCTTCTTTTGGCTTTTCTGTTATATCTTCGACCATTGTTAAACTTGCATAATCAATTCTGAACTTTGCCAAAAGGCTTGCCATGCTGAAATTTTTTAATTTTATATATTAAGCAACAAGTTTTAATCAGTTTTTTGGAATACATGATTTCAAGTCATACTTTCTTGTTTCCAATTCCAATTCTTGTTTTCTATTTGCCAATGCAAATACTCTGAGCTTGCAAGATGACCAATCGTGTCTGGTACTTATAATATAGGGCAATAAAATTGTTAATCCTCCATCGTCATACAACCACCAAACATCTATCGTTCCTTTATCTTGTTTCGAATTAAATAATGACATGGCTTGCATAATGTTTTGTGATAATCTTTTGCCCGTTTGGTTTAATTGAAACCTGTAATTAATTACCATGAGTAAATTTTACCGTTTATTTTCCGTTAGATGTTGCCAAATTTAAAAACTGTCACATACTCTTCTTTCGTTTGTGACGTTGGCTCTTTTTTTTTTAACATGAGTCTCGGACTTTTCGTTATTTTTTCGTTAATGATAAATTTTCTCGGTAAATGCGGACTTTCGACTGGAAGACATTCCAATGCGGCACTCCGATCGCTTGTTCCATTTGACGTAACGGTTAAATTACCATTGGCGGGAATTTTTGAAATTTCTTCATCTGTGACCCAAGAATAATCTAAGCCTCCTGGAACTCTTACTATCGTGACGGCCACGCGATGATAAAAAGCTTCGCTATAAAATAAGAAAGGTTTGTTTACGTGACGAAAAAAACGTATTTTTCATTCCGGAAATGATTGTTTAAAACATTCGTCTTTGAACGTGAGGTCAGTGAATATAATAATTTTTTAAAATTTATTCCGAACACATAACAGAGTCGATACTTACTGCAGGCCATTAAAATAAGAGAGTAAGTTTTCGTACGAGCACGTTATCCAATCGTCTTTGAAACCCATCATGAGAACGTTGGGCCTTAATTTTCCAACTCCAACTGCTTGAAGTAAAGATTTGACGCCATCTTCGAAATTAACATCGTCAATCAATGCGTAAAATCCTTTTATTTTTCTATGACCCAACCATGCATAACTTTCTCTGATTCTATTCTGTCGAGCTTTGTATGATAATTTTTTCTAAAATTAAAAAAAAAATTTTTTTTTCCCCCTCAGTGATTCTAGTTAATGTTTCAAATTTTTTTATTCAACTTTTTTAAATTACCTGTAATATATCCGCACACATAAAAAGGGCATTGTTTTTCGTTATGAGATATGCTAAATCAAGCAATGAGGGACGTGCACACGGTTTACCGGAAAGCACTAAAATTTGAGGTTTATAATTTTTAACGTGTTCGCTTACATTTACCAACCTTAAAGCAGACGATAATGCCGTTTTATAAGTTTGAGCCTGAGTTGATGATCCCCAATTAACATCTACAAAAAGATTTTTTTGTATTACGAGACGTAAATGAAAGCCGAATTAATATAATTATTATTATTATTTTTTAGTTTATAATCACCTGGTTTTCTATACACGACGATAAGATATAATGCAAAAGTGATGATCATGGTTATGAGTGACGTCACCCAATCGATTAAAAACATGATGCCAACGCACAAGATGAATCCGACAAGGCTCAACCACATGTTATAATACTAAAATATTAGGAAATAAGATTTTCGAACAAAAGGATAAAGACAACAGAAAAATTTAGGTTTTACCTTATAAGTCGGACGCCATCCTAAGGGTTTGATAAGTGCAGCATGAAAAGTACAAAAATTAATCATGGCGTATGAAGCAAGGTAAAAATTTGAAATGAGAGGAGCAATTGCATTTAGTTCGGCTGGAAAAACAAAAATTTTTTTAAATTTTTTTTATTCTTACTGAAATTTCAGGTTTTTTCAGGTGAAAAACTGGGAACTGACCGATTAACAAAAAAGCAAGGGAGACGATAAAAGTGAGAACGTAGCCTCTGTAAGCTTCGTTATTTTTTCCATAACCTTTGGAAAAATAAATTATTCTCGGATATATTCGATCGTTTCCGATGGCTTGTATCAAACGAGGTACGGATAGTAAATTGGTTAGAGCCGTCGATAAAGTGGCAGCAAAACATCCGGCAAATATTAAAGGACCCCAAGAAGATACCATTTGCATAACCTGAAAATTATTCGTTTGAGCATAGTATTGTGGCACAATTGATTGTTCGATTTGAAAACATGGATTCGTACCGTGTAGCTGTTGTGAAGACCAAATTCGCAAGTTCTGTTAAAACAATTGGTAAATTGTCCAGTTGCCAATTCGCTGACTATACCGCTTGCATCTCTCGACGTACTCGCACCGGCAACGAAAACAAAAATGGCGTATGATATCATAGAAATAACAACAGCCAACATTGTGCCGTTCGGAATAGAAAATGCCGGATTCTTAAAAAATAAAAATGAGTGTGAATTTCGTGAAGAAGAAAGTTTTCTAAATACTTTAAAAAATGGCAAAAAAAAAATTACCTTCAAATCACCGGATATGTTGGCACCAGCTTGTATTCCGGTCACCGATGGAAAAAAAATGGCGAAAACGGAAAAAAAATTTTGCTGTTTCATTTCGCTATAACGATAATCTGATCCCCAATTTTCCGCAAGAAGTTTTGCTAAAAAAAAAGGACGCGTCAATGTTATCAGGTTCTGGAAACGATGATAAGGTTATGAATGAATCGACTTACAGCTGATTCCTTCAAATCCTTTTGCTTTTTCTTCATCCGTAACGGGACCAATGATGGCGCCGACAACAAAATCCAACATGGCTGCTATTATAATAACGACGAGAAAATTTTGCGCCTGAAAACAAATCGTAAAAGTAATGATAATGACGATGATTGACCCAGTTAAAAGACGATATCGCCGTCATTTTCACCTTAGATTCCCATTCCATACCGACAGCACATATGATCACCATTATCAAAAGTGCTATAGTTCCGACTATTCTTATATCATTGACACCACCGTCGAGGATTTTTAAATCGTTTTCTCTCAGGAGGTCGTTGAGAGAACTGCAAAAACCGATCGTATTCATAGAAGCAGCGACGGCATTGGCAAAAGCGAATACTATTCCGACGGAAGCTCCAAATTCAGGTCCGAGGGATCTTGAAATGATATAATAAATCCCACCTGGAACGACGGACGAACATTTTATATGTTTTACATGGGGATTTGGAAAAACGGGAAGCAGGAAATATGAAATTTCGCTTAACCTCCTTGCACTTCTCCATTTGTGCTGATGGCAGACATGGACGTCGTCGTCAAAACGCATACAATCGCAGACAAAACAATAATAATAAGGCTTCCGCTTATACCGGATTGTGCAACGACCCAAGACAAACGAAGGAAAAGCATGACACCCCATATGTTAAGTAAACAAGGTATGAGAACACCCTGTATCCATCCTAATTTTACACCGTGACCCGTCGGTTCGTTTTTCGGTGGTGCGACATTTTCATTTTTATCCTAAATTTAAAAATTTTCTTTTTGTCTTTTGTCTCCTCTCAAAAAAAAAAAAATAAAAAAATGAAAGGGATTTTTTTTTTTTTTTAATACCTTTAAATCTTTTTCTTCACCGTGAAGTTCACCCAAAGAAGGTCTTTTAAGACCTATAAAATCATTTCTGTAATTATCGAGCCTGGGTAAAGCTTCCAACGTGTTATGTTGAAAACTTTTCTTTCTATCAGCATTATAAGGTATCTCGGATAGGTATCCCTGATTGACATACGCATTAGGACACGAATCCACTTGCAATTCCGTATTTTCAGGTACGTTTTGCATAACCGCAACAGATGAAATTCTTCTCACGGTGAATCTATTTTCATTGTACGGCCTATTCGGGGTCTAAAATTTTATCAAAAGGGAAAATTATTTCGAATTCTCAGGGTTGCCATTACCGAAAAAAAAAAAAAAAAAATTTATATACTCTACCCTTTGATTCCCCTCCGACTCCATTTTTTTTTAAGCACTGTATCACCGACACAAAAAACCTTCGATTCGAACCTTTTCGAAATTTGTTAATTTAAAAATTTTTTTTTTTTTTAACGATGTAATGAAAAACAAATTAAACAATTATTGCTAATATTGTTAATGCCACACTCATTACTACTACTACTACTACTACCACGACCCGATCGTTTCGATCCGAACCTGATTACTATTATTATTATTAAAAAAAAAAAACTTTTCTTCACGTCTTCTTCTTTTGCGAATGTGTCGTCGCCAAAATCGTTTCAATGTTTTTCTTCTTCTTTTGTTACGTGTGTGTGTGTGTGTGTGCGAGTGCGTGTGAGTGCGTGAATAATATTCGAGTACGTGTTATTTCTCCCCACTAAAAAAAAAAAAACTCAAAGTCAAAAAAACTTTGATATAAACTAATTAACCATTTTTTTTTTTTTTTTTGTAACCATTTAAGGCTTTTTGTAATTTTTTTTTTTTACATAAACAATGTGACCCCTTTTGTAAATACTTCGAAACCTTTTTTTTATTATCGTGAGCCCCCCGACCTGTCCCGCACCCCCCCCCAAAAGTCATCCATAATCATTCCAGTTATTTTATTTTCTGTCAAGAATAAACGTTTAAAAAAAAAAAATGTTAATTTTTATTTTATTTAAATTAATTATGCACTCTTGCATTGAAATAATTAAATTAATTAAAATAATAATAATAATAATGATAATGATAATGAGAGTGTTATAAAACGAGATTTTATCATAAAAATTTTGTAATAAGTCTAATTTGTTTTTTTGTAAAAAATTTTCCAGGTTTTCGAAATTTGAAGGAAAAATTGGGAAAATCATATCGAAAAGGATTATGCGATGGTTAAGGAACATTCTGGAATTTTTACAAGAAAGGTCATTAGGAGTAGTACCTGAAAAAAGATGATGATAACCTGTTTGGTAAGAATTTTTATTGATTTTATTGATAAATTTTGTCACCACCTGAATTTTTTTTTTTTTTTTTTTAAACTTTTGGCAATACCTCAACAAAAAAAAATTCAGGTACGTAAAAATAATAATAATAATACCTTGACCAGTCTTACGAAGCATTCTTTAAAAAAAAAAAAACTCGATAAAAGATGAACCTCACATGATAAATTTTACCTTGACAATAGAAGAAGAAAAAAAAATCAACCGGATGTCGTTACGTTATTGGGGTTTTCTAGGTTGGTTCGATATTAAAAAACAAAAAAAATTTATTTTACAAAGACATTGGCCCCATTTTCTTTTTTTTTTACAAAAAAACTTTTCGTAGCAGAAGATAATGATTATTTGCTCCAAATAATAATAATAATAATAATAATAATAATAATAATAATAATAATGATAAAAGGAGGTTCGATGAATAATTACGTAATCGAAACAAAAATCCAACAAATTTTCTTTTTTTTTTAAAAAAAAAAAAAAAGGAAATTTTCAATTTGAAAATGTGAGGAAATTTTTTTTTTTTTTTTCGGTTAAAATTTTTCTACGTTTTAAAAAATTCTAAGAAAATGATAATAATGATAATGATAATGATAATGATGATGATTTTGATGACGGTAAAAATTAATAAGAAACCTTGCCCAAAAAAAATTTAACGATTATTTTCTTTTGAAATTCGTGCCGTGAATTTTATTAGTTTTAAATTTGCTTTAAATTTGTTTATTTTTTTTTAAATAAATCGTATTTATTTATTATTTTGGGGGACGGGGGTGAGGATCGGGGAGCCGAGATGCATTTATTAAAAAACGCCCGGAAAAAAAATTCTTAAACGAATCAAATTTAATTCGATTTTTTTTTTCTACAATTCAACGAAATTTACTTTTAATTTTTTCTTAGTAAAAAAAAAAAAAAAAACGTGGCAGCAACCACAACAACAACAACAACAACCAAAACAACAACTGGCAAATATTTAAATTTTATTATTACACGGCCATCAAATTTTTTTTTTTTTTCGTACTCACTAAGAATATAAATTTTTTTTTTTTTTTTACTTGATTTATTTATTTCGCAGCGTTTTTTTTTTTTTTTTTTTTTTAAACGAGTCACACGAAATTATCATTATCATCATTATTATTATTATTATTAACATTATTACCCCCCAAATAAATTCTTTTTTTTTTTTTTGCAGAATAAATAAAATGACCTTAACGAAACAGGTACACATATTTTTTTTGACGGCCGTTAAGATATTTCGCATTTAAAAAAGGTTTTTCCCTTTTTATCTCCTCCCACGTAAAAGTTAACTTGTTTTTCTCCCCCCAAATTTTTTTTTTACGTGAACCGGAAACGGGTAAAAATGTTCAATTTCCGTTTTAACTCGCTTTGAACCTACGTAATAAACCCGGAAAAAAAAATTTTATTTTGTTGTCATCGATTTGTTATAATTTACTTAACGCTATATATATAAAAAAATTGTTTTGCGTCGTTGTTGTTGTTGTTGTTTCGGTTGTTGCGGTTGTTATTGTCGCATTTTAAATAATTGACAAAACACATATATAACAAACGATAATAATGATAAAAACAAACAATTTAATTAGAACGTTTTCATAAGGAAAAAAAATGAACAAATTAAAATTTTTTTTTATTACGAAACGATTTAATTTTTTTTTTTTTTTGAAAAAGTAGGAGAGGGGGGAAATTTGTTTTCTTGTAAAGGCTATAAAAACCGGAAATTAATCCGAAATTGTTTAAAATATTAAACCGGAAATGAGAATGAAGGAAAATAAAAATAAAGAATTTTGAATACACGTAATACTCATATATTTTTTTCTTTCGGTCACACTAATTACGTAATGATACGGCACGATGAGTGTGTGTGCGCGGGGGGAGGGGAGGGTTTGTAAAGACATTGACTTTGCGTTATCACGTATTAATAAACGATTTTTTTTTTTAAAGAATGGCCGATGACGATGTGGCATTGACCAAACAAATTTTAAAATCAATTTGAATTTAAACATTGTTGAATTTTTTTCAAACCTTTCGCCTGTTCGGTTTTGAGTGAATTTTCCGTTTCGTGTACGAAATCGACATATTTTTCGAAAAATTCAAATTTGAAATCCTCCATTTTGACATTGACGTTGATCAAAACATTTTCTATCGTTTCCATTTTTTCTTTAACTTCGTCTAATATTATCAATATGCCGCCATCCGTCGTTTCGTTTGATATTTCTTGTTCTTTAGCGTTTTTAAAATCTGAAAAATTATCATTATTATTGTTTGTTTTGTGATTAAGAGATTAAGAGGGGGTCTTATCCCCTCGTGGGATAATCTCACTCACCATTTAAAAATTCTAAAAAATAATTAAGGGTTAAATTAAAGGGTAACAATGTCAAATAACTCTCGTCTATTAAATTTCTAGATTTTTCCGGTATCGTTTTGTATATTTCGTACAATACGTTAATTGTTTGATTTCCATTATTTCCGACGCATTCGAATTTTTTTATTATCATTTTATTATCGATCCCTTGATAAATTGTTGTTTTTATGACGTCACGAATCTGTTACGACAAAAATAATAATAATAATAATAATAATAATTTAAATGTTTATATACACATTACAAAATTTTTGACGGATACTCACTTCGTTGTTTAAAATATGATAAACGTCTATGAGTGCATCCGTTCTTTCTTTAACGATTTCTTTGTTTACTTCTTTTCCATTTTCCAAATCTGACAAACCGTTGAAAATTTCATTTTGACATTTTTTTATCATAGAATCGAGAGTATTTAAATGATTTGTTACGTTAACACCGTGACCCTGTTTTTTTTTTTTTAAATTATTATTATTATTATGTAGGTGAAAAGAAAAAAAATTAATTTAAAATCTTACCGATGTCACGGAAGTTAATAAAATCATAAAAAAATAATTTATTAATATCATTATTATTATTTGTAACAAATAACAAAACAATTTCCACGACAAATTTTTTTACTTATTGTTGTTGTTGTTGTTATTTTTTATTGATTTATATTATATCTATTTTGATTAGATTAAAAAATATTTAATCTTGATTTATTTATTTTCAGGGCCGTATCCAAACGATAATTGGAAGAGGAGGCGGGGGAATGGTAGAAAGAAACTACCCAAGTAAAACTCCTGGACTTGTTTGGGAGTACAATCGACATTTCAGACTCAACCCCCTCCTGAGCCGGAAATATCAGGTCTACACTCGAGATGGTAAGAATCTCTCCCCCCTCAGGAAAATCCCGGTTCCTTTTCCACCCTTTTTTACCCTTCGAGACAGTCCCGAGTTGCTGCCACGTTCTCACCTCTTCCGCAGAGTCTACGGGATGTTCATCTGTCTTCTTTTCACGTCTCAGCTCCGCATTTACCCCATTTTGAATCAAGTACCCAGTTTAACCTCCTCGAACAATGGGTTCTAGGTCACTTATCCCCTTATCTACGTACAGGAGTTGAAATTTAACTCACGAGATTTGAACCCACGACTCTCAACTCGGTGACCCCATTTTCGGACTCAACCTGGCTACCTCGGGCTATCCGAAGGCATCCAAATTGATGCTTAACCCCTGGCGGACCAATCCCAGAACCCCGCCCCTTCATACATCCTCATACCCACCTCCAAGTATTTGGGTTGAAAGGAGTACTCCCACGACCACTCCCACATTACGTTTTGTCTGTCACGTTTAATAATTTTTTTAAATTTTTTTCCAGGCGTGATTTCTCCATCGAGCACACTCAATATATTTCCAGTAAGTTTTTAAAATTCTTTTATTTAAAAAAAATTCTGTGTTATAGCATAAAATTACATAAAACGTTTCGTTAACGCGATACTTTTCATTTACAACGTCATTTCCGGTTTTTTTTTCTTTTTTTTTTCGAAAAAGGTTAATATTTTTACGTAATTGAATTTATATAATATCATCATCATCATCATCATCATCATCATCATCATGTGTTTTATTCATCTTTTTTTTTTTTTTTTTTGATTCTTTTATTTGGAAAAAGAAAGTTTAATATGAGAGATAATGGGTGCGTCAAATCTCTTATAAATTTTAATAAATATTTTTTAAAATTTTTTTTATTAAAAAAATAATATATATTTATATAATATATATATATTTAAAAATTACGCTAAAATAAAACAAACAAAATTTCACTAGTAAATATAATAATAATAATAATAATAATAATTTTTCAAAAATTCCAGTTTTTTTATATAACCAAAAAAAAAAAAAAAAAAAAAAAAAACTGGAATTAATAAAAGAGAGCTGCTGATGCTGTTGCTGCTGTATCAAGCAAAAAAACAAAGATAATATCAATAACATTAATTAAAAAATATGAGATGAATAGATAGATAGATAGATAGATAGATACATAGATAGATAGATTTAATAAGTATTCAGTCTTCATACAGCGGCGGATTTTTTTTTTTTCGTTTTTTTTTTTTATATTCGTGATAAATTATCAGTGCGATGATACTGTATGTTTTTATATATCTATTTATATATTTATATATATTTACAATCAATCAATCAATCAATCAATCATTCGTTTAAAATTTTCTATCTTTTTGTAATTTCATCAAGACGAGTCTTCTTATTTTCCTTGGCTTTGCGTGGCTACCCGTAAAAAAATTCAATAAAATTAAAAAAAAAAAAACATTGAGAGTCGTTTTCCACAATCAGTCAATCAATCAATCAATCATTCATCGATTTAAATTCGAAAAAAAAAAAATTCGTTTATTATTATCATTATTACTAATTTTTATTCGTTTTTTTTTTACGCGTGTGCAATTTTTAAAATCAATTTTTTTTATTTATGTTTTTTGGCTTTTACGTAAAAGTTTCTAGAAAAATCTTCTTCCTAATCTTAAAAGATCAAGGAGATATTTGTGACTAAATTATTATTCCCGCCAAATTTAAAACGAGTTTAACGGGTTTCGAACGATTTAAAATTTCATTTTAAAAAAATATATAATAATAATAATAGTAATAATTTTTTATTAAATCGATTCGATTCCTCCGCCGCTGAGTTTTGTCGCGTAGACATTTAAAACCTACAAAAAGAAACAAAAAAAATTTTAATTAAAAATGGCGGATTTATATTTCGATATATCGATATATTGATCGATCGATCGATCGATTACCTGATATATGAACGCGTATTGATCTTTCGTTTGAACGGCTCCCGCTCTATCCCTTCTTAAATTGAACACGCATTTTGGTATGTCCACCATTCTATTTTGTTCGTATTCTCTAATACATAAATCGCAAGCTATCACAGTTCCAGTTCGTCCCGTACCTGGAAAAAATTATGGAGAGAGTGTATTGATAACTTTTTTTTTTTTTTTGGTTTTTCCAGGTTTCGTTTCGAGTCTTACCGGGACTGCAGTGAACCACCGTCGGACTCGTTGTCGTGGCTCCATTTTGAATTTTTGTTTGAGATCGTGCTTCGATTAAAAATGCAATTAATGAATTGGCTTCGGATGGTACTCCTTGTTCGGGCCATCCCAAGTACCACAAATGAGCTACTTCTCGCCAAAGATTTGTTTCCATGTTCTGAAAAACGACGTTTGGTTTATTATTTTCCAAGGATTCTCCAGACGACAACAACAACAACAACAACGCGTCATACCTTTAGTGTTAAATGAGAAATGATGTATTTCTCCTTGACGTCTCTTTTCTTCAGTGTGACTTGGAAATCTCCAAAGAGACGTAGATTATCCGTCACTTCGTTTGGAGGTAGGTAATCTGCACATTTTTCCTAGATGATTACAAAAAAAAGCGTGTTAAACGTTTCTTCTCCAGAAAAAAACAAAAGGAATGACGTCACTCACTTTTCCATTCTCTTGAAGATTGGTAATCATTAGTATGACTTTACATTGTTGCTCCCACACCATTCTCCAGAAATCCTCTATCGTGGATTCCATTGGACCCTGACACGCTATGTACAATTTTTCGGCCCCCTTGTTACCCCTAACGTAATTTGCATTTATGTAATCCGATAGGGGATCGTTGTTTCTCACGCTTAAATGAACTCTCGTTTCCGGCAAGGGTATAACGTTCGCGTATCTATTTTTCGTTTCGGCTCCTTCCGGTAATTCTTCCACTTTCGGATAGACTTGCGGTATGACGCCGAATTCTTCGAACAATTGCTCTTTGGCAGAACTGAAATTTGCCAATCCGGCAAAATTCATCGGATGCGTCGGAACTTCCTGTCATCGACAACATTCGGGACGACGACAAAAATGAAAAAAAAAAAAAAAAAAACATTTACGATAACGAACGTACGAACGAACGAACGACTTTTTTTTTTAAATGAACCAATTAACAATTTGAAACCTACGGGATCATCGAAAGCCGCATTCCCGTACGATCTTTTCGACGCTCTCATTCCTTTTCTTCTCACGCTGTTATATATGGACACGCTATCCAAACTATATGCGTCCAAGGACACCGGAGTACACCTTTGACCGTAGTTGAAACGTTTTTGTCGTCTCTTCATGATCATCTGACAAAACAAATTGATTACGTCATTAATAATAATGATAAGACCCTCGACCGAATAAATAGCAAAAACTCACAAAAAGTATTCCCAAAAGTATGACGCATATTCCAGCGACGCACGATATGACGATGGCAGCGACGACGCTTCCACCCAATGGCGAATCGTTTAATTCGGTTAAATTGACAATGGGCGTGACAAAATCAACTTTACGAATCTGAAAAAAAAAATTTATTTATTATCATTATTATTATTTACTTTTAATATCGGAAAATCCGTTCGTGTGACGTAATAACCGTCCCTCCATCATCACACCTCTGGTACACAAGTCGAATCCAATCCGTTCATCATTTTCTAAAAAGGAAAAACCAAAAATTTACGCGTTCGACGTTTATAATGTTACGCGAATAAGTATACCACGTGATTAATCATTATCATTTTTTGATTATTATCATTCTTATCACACGGTTGAATAAACAATTTTCTGACGCCATGTTCGCTATGATCCGCGTAAATAAATAAATAAAAAAAATGTCCGCGCGCGTGACGACGGCGCGACTCGAATACGATTTTTGTAACGTTCGCCCCCTCCCCCTTCGATTTAAAAAATTTATTATTATTATTATTATTATTATTATATTTAAACGTTTAGTTAGCTTACCGGTAAATCGAAATCCAATCCGTGACGTCCCCACAGAGTGAGAAAAGCTTCGCTTAAATTCTTATCGAAATCTCGGTTTTTGTCCATGAGAAACATGTTGACGGGGAGGAAAACCGTTCGATTCGATTCTTTCCTCCTCGTTTCTTCTATTTTTTCCAAACAATGTCTGTCACTCAAATTTAAAAAGTGAATCGAATCCGACGTGACGTTTCTATATAAGTCGTAGGAAAGGAAAAAGAAAATTTTTTTTTTTTATTAAACGTGACACGATCAATGGGGAAAATTGACAAATTAGTCAAGACGGAAATTGTGCGACTAATGATTCATGTTTTGTGCAATCGAACAAACAAACAAACAAACAAAAAAAAATGGCCGTTCGATTACGAACGTCCGTACGATTGTCTCACCTTCCGTTTAACATTTTTAATATGGCTCCTCGGAGTGGTTCTTTGAGTGAGCATAATTCCATCCAAGAACTCGTTTGAACGGTTAGTCTTAGGTAAGCCGGAACGTTTTCTTCTGTTATCTCGTCGAACGGATTATACGTCGTCGGTATGTAATTTTGATAGTAAATGCTTTCTTCTGTCGTTTTCGGTTGTTTCGATTCCGTGACGGGAGGAAGTGGAGTCGTTGGTGTCGTGGCTGTTGTCGATTGAGTGAAAGTTGTTGTAGTCGCCGTGCTCAAAGTCGGAGTAGTACGTTCTGAGGGACTCGTTCCGTATTTTGTTGTGGTGAACGTGGTGGTGGTGGTACTGACGATCGGTGGAATGGCCGTAGTTAAAATCGAAGACGGTGTCGCGTACGTATCGGTGGTCGTGATCGTTGTTTTCGTTTTATTGTCGTTTCCGACGATCGTCGGCGGCGTGACCACGTCTGCCAACGTGATTCCCCGCGTTGGTAATTCCGTTGAAAATATTTGAAATATATTTTTTTCCCTGTCGCTTTCCGTTGTGGAATGTATCGAATTGTCTGTGAATGGTTTTTCTTTCGATAAAACTGTTTTGTTATTATTAAACGGCGACGGTGATGACGGTGACGACGACGATGGTGATGATGATGACGGTGTGGACGACGATTCATTCATTTGACCTAAATTAAAAAATGAGCTTTCCGTGGTTGGCCTAGTTTTTGGAAACAAAATTGTCTTCGTTGTAGTTTCATCGACGTTGTTGTTGTTGTTGTTGCTTTCTTCTCGGGGTAAAGTATCACCTGAAGAAGTCAGCGTCGATTTTTCATCCGTTTTAATTGTTGTGTCGGTCGTCGTCGATTTGTATTCCGTTTCGGTCGATCCGATTTCACCCTCGTCCACGTCGATGTCTTCAAACGACCCGATTTTTGTAGATGACGATGGTAACGTAGTTTCTTCCAGTTCCGAAGTGGTTGCCGACGTAAAATAATCAGTTGTTTTGTCTGTTGTCGCCGATGCCACCGTCTGACTCGTGATATCTTCTGGTGCTATCGACAAAGGCACGACTTCTTCCGAATTTTTCGTATCGTTATATCCGATCGAAGTTATTTCTACGTCGGGGGTTGTTGACGACGATGACAAATTACTCCAATTATCTGGTACCGTGTTGAAATTATTGAAAATTTCAGTAGTCGTCGGTGTTCCGGTATCAGCAGAAGACCCCTCATCATCATTCATTTGAGGAGTAGACGTTTGGGTTATATTCTCGCTCGCTTTAGAAAATTCATGAGTCGGATTAACGATTTTCAATGTCGACCATGTTTTGTCATGACTTACTACGGGTGACGTGACATTCGAATAACTTTTTGTAAAACTAAATGCTTCCGTGATTGTTGAACTGGCATTGAGGACCGGCGTCATCATGGAATTGTAATTGAGATTTACGTGTGGAGTGGAATTAGTCACGACGTTTGGCTCTTTTGTAACATTTTCCATTTTGGTATTTTCCGGAGGAACGACGACGATGGTATTTTGCGGAAATTTTTCCGTAAGGTTCGCACTACTATTTTGAAAATTTGGTAAATTCGTTTCCGTGATTCCGCCAGGTTTTTCCGTTGATTTACTCGATACGGGAACTCTTAATGTTGCGAGCGTCCACGACACACCCGTGGCAGGTATCGCCATTTCCGAACTGTTTTTTTCACCGTTATTATTATTATTATCACTTTTCGAATTATCTCCCGTTCGATTTGATTTCTTGTACTCGACCGGACCTTGAAATTTTATGGGTGATTTATTCAGGTCCATTTTGTTGAGATTCAAAGATTCGTCCGTCGATGATTTTTTTTCCACATCGTTTCGTCTCGTCGACGTCGACGTCGTCGTTTTTTGAATTTCCACGTTTTTCAATTGAAAATCACTTTCGAGCATGTCCACATCGTCCGACGGAAACACGATCGACGAATGTTGTTTGTCCATCGTCGTTTTATTCTTTTTTTGTACAAACACGACGGATTGTGTGACTTGTTTGTTGTTATGATGATAATGTTCTTGGGGTTTGTTGGACATCATTTGCCTTTGAGTCAATTTGTCCGGCACTATCGGAACCCAATCCGTTTGTCCGGTGGGACCGAATTTAATTGAATTTTTCAACGATTGAACGTTCGAAATCGGCGTCGATTTTCTACCGAATGGAAAAATTGTCGTTTCCGTTTTGTTGTGTCCTCCTCCTCCTCCTTTACCGACGGTGACGATTTTCGTTGGTTGATCTCTGAACGTTTCGTAACCGCGATTGTTCGTCTGCGTCCGTTCGTTTGAACTCACTCGAATTTTTTTCATCGTGTTACTGTTTACGTTTTCCATGTGGGAACCATTTTCCAAACTTCGTCCTTCGTACACGTCGTTTTTATTCTTGTCCACGACTTCTTTCGACGCGATTTGATGATTTCTAACGGTGGTATAATCGTTTAAATTCGTCATGACCGTTTCGTTTCTCATGAAAACTTTATCCGCTCCTGTTTTACTACCACTACCACTCCCGTTTTTAAACTCGTTCGCGGTTTCGGTAACGTTCGGAACGGAATTCGATAAATATTGTTTGTCGGGCAATAAAATAATTTTTTCGCTTGCATTTTTCAAATTCGAAACGAGAATTTTTTTCTTTAATTTTTGAAATTTCGACGTTCCCTCGTCGTCCGTTGAATTTTCAACCGTCGAAATGATCGACGTTGACGGTAGGACGGTTGTTTTTTCCGTCACGTTAAAATTCGTCCCGTTTGAAAATTTTCCGGATATTTTTTGCGTGACGGATGACGTGGATATTGTCGTGGACGTTTTTACTCTTTCATTGTTTGTTTTTGTTGTTGTCGGTGACGACGTCGATGTTGTACTTGTTGTTGTTGTTTCCGTTCCGCTGCACGATGATAAAGCACCTGAAACGGAAAATAATTTCACAATTAAAAAAAAAAAAATTTTTTTTTGTAATAATATTTTGCTGCCATTAATGATTCCTCGTCAGGATTTTCGCAACGCAACGCAAAAACCACACAAATGATTCAATTAAATAATTTTTTACGCCGCGAACAATTTATTAAACCGATTATTCCGGACCGGAAATTAAGTCACACCGCAAATTTAATATAAATTTTCTATTTTTTCTAAACACCTGACCTCGTTTTTGAAAAAAAAAAAAAAACGAATCGATCCTCTATATTCGAATAAGGCAACAAACGATATTAATAATGATTTCGAACGGATGATGCAGACGACAAACTTAAAAAAAAAAAAAAAAAAAAAAACGGGAGGGAAAAGGGAGAAAAGGTTTTTAACGTTCGAATTTAAATTACGTAAAATAAATTTTAAATTGCGCGACGATGGGCAACCAAACGGAAAAGAAAATACAAATTATTATTATTATCATTATCATTATTATTATTATTATTATTATTATTATTGTTATTGTACAGTTAATTTCATCGTACGAAGGATATTATGACGGTTATAAAATTTTTTTTTTTTTTTTTAACTGAACAAAATTTTTCCGCGACGAAATAATTTTTTTTTTTTTGGAGATAAAATTTAACAATAAAATTTCATCGATCCGGGTCGAACGGAAATAATAATAATAATGATAATAATATTTTTGTACGTCTTTTCGCTCTAGTTGATTTATTATTATTATTATTACTATTTTATTAATGCCTACTGTACTTCTAGTAATGATTTTAAAAAATAATGAAAAAAAAAAATTACTTTCTTGTTTTTTTCGTTTGACTCTCTTGACTTTTTCTCTCTCTCTCTCTCTCTGACTTTGTTCTTGGAAAATTGAAATCGAGAAAATTTTCTCCACGGGAAGGGATGTGGGGAGGGCAGGGAGGGAAAGGAAAAAATAGGAGAAAAATGAAAAATTTCAAATGATTTCACAGTAGACAGATGGACAGACAAATGACAGAGAAAAAAAGAAAGAGATGATGAATGCCAGAAAAAGAAAGAGAGAGAGAGAGAGAGAGAGAGAGAATAAATTGTTGACCTGTAAACGTCGTACCCGTGAAACAAAAAAAAAACCGTAAAATATCAGGAAAAAAAATTATTATTATTATTATTATTATTATTTTGCGTTTTGCTTCAATGACTTTAACGTTCGTAAAAACTTTAAAGGAGTTTATTCTGTTATGTGTTTCTGAATAAAAAATTACTTCCTCGACAACGAAAAAAAAAATCCAGTAACCGTAATTTAATCAGGTATTAAAAAATGATAATAATGATTATGAATATTATGGAATATAAGAAAATTGCGTGGAAATGCGTGCGTAATTTCGAGTTGCGTAAAATAAAAAAAAAAACATAAACTTCTTTTTTTTTAAATTTTAAAAATCTTCTTCTTCTTCTTCTTTTTTATCGTTTTATTTTTTTTACGTACGTAAAACATATTATCGATGTGTGAAAATGTCCGTCTGCTGGAACGAAATAATAATAATAATAATAATAATATTTTTAAAAATAATTGTTTCGTCTGCTAATAAATAAAATTTTTTTTGTTCGAAATTTTCCACGATTATTATTGTTATTTTAAATTTTTTTAATTATTTGATCGGCTTCCGGAATAATAACAAAAAAAAAATTGCTTCTTACGATTTTAAAATCTCGTATCGAAATTAAAATCGAATTGAATCGATTGATCGATCTATCGATTTCGCGTAATAAAAAAAAAATTAAAAAGTAAAATAAAAAAAACGTACCCAAAAAAATAAAAATAATTAAAAGTTTATTCTCCATGACGATTCAATAGGACGACGACGACGACGTTGATTATTATTATTATTATTGTGGATTTCTCCAAAAAATTGAGGCCGGAAATTGAAAGAAAAAAGAAAACAAAAAAATCTCCGGAAATCTTCGTGAAGGCGGCGGCGTCGGAATTTTTATTTTTTAAACTTATTTAAAATTTTTTTTTTCTTCGTCCAATTCAATAACATCGTGGGTGGAGGTCGATGAACCCTGAAAAGAAAAACATTATTATTATTAATAATAATAACAACAACACCCGTAACAACAACACAAACAACAACAACAACAATAACAAACAATAACAATAACAATAATGCTAATACAATTGAAAAAAAAAAAAATTAGTAGTAAATTTTAAAAAAATAATAATAATAATATTAAAACGTTCGTCGAAAAAAAAAAAAAATCGATTAATCAGTCCGTGACGTCAGAATAAGAAGAAAAAAAAAATTTTTTAAAAAGTAGGAAAAGATGAAAATCCAAAAAAAAAAAAAAAAAAAACTGATAACATCTGATAACGATTATCATCACGAATCGTTGTCGAAATGTCGGCTTATGATTTAAATTTGATATAAACCCCTCCCCTCTTCCTCCTCCTCTTCCCTCCTTTCCATACACCTCCCGTTGATTCCACGTTTTTAAATCCTAGCCGTTTCCCGCCAATTTCACTTTTTTAAAAAATTTCATGTTACAACCAACACTTTCACTCGACTTCGCCCATTATTATTATTAATGTACGACAATTAAATTTAATTAACTCCGCGTAATTAATCGATTTAATTTAATTTAATTTTTTCAAATTCATTTCAATTTTGGAAAAATGACTCATGACCAAACTGGAACGGTTTTTGTCCAGGTACGGAGTGATGGAGAAAAACAAAACGAAAAAAATCATCATCATAGCATTATTACGCGAACGGAGAACGTGTACGAGTGATGGAAAACGAAAGTCAAAACGTTTGTTTTCCATTAATTTTACCATCTATCTAACAAACAACAACAACGACAAACACGCACGCACGCGTTAAAAAATCAAATTTGCGAAACAATTTTTTTTTTTTTTTTGTTGTAATTCGCAAAGCAACCGAATAGAAAATTAAGGATCTGATTTTTTTTTTTTTTTTTAATGATGAAATTCCAGCAAGCGTAAAGATAACAAAAGTTACGATCTAACTACGAAGAGAGAGAGAGAGAGAGAGAGAGAGAGATTTCGAAAGTCGTTAACGAGTTAATCGAATGATGATGATGATGATGATAAAAATAATTTACCAAAGAACTCAAAGACTAACACAAAATCATACATACAAGGTTTCGTACGACTTTCGTTTGACAGGAGAAAGGAAAAGAGAGTGAGTGAGTGAGTGAGAGAGAGAGAAAGAAAGAAAAGGGCAGAAACGTTTAAGACAACAACAACAACTACAAACGATTAAGAACCCACACACTATATAACGGTGTCCCCCAAACCAAATCGAACTCGTGTTCAATAATAATTCAAGTGGGTTTCTGTAGTAAAATCCATAAATAATCGCAAAAATCGGGGTTTTCCCCTCCCCCCCCCGCAAAACACTCATTAATTAAATGTCGAAATTTTTAACCGTAGCAAAAAAAAAAAAGAAGAAGAAAATTAATTTTTAATTAAAATGACCATCAGATTTCATTAAAACCGTCACGTAATCAAAAAAAGGAAAATTTCATTAAAAAATCGCATTTTTCCATTCTGAGAAAATCTATCGATCGAGTACTCGTCAGAAAATAATTTTCCGAACCAAAATAATTATAATAATAATAATGATCGTTTTTTTTTATTTTTCAGAAAAGAAGAAAATGAAAATTCCGATAAAACTTTTTCTGAGTCGATGGAAAAATAGGAAAAAGGAGTTGGAGAGTTACGTCATCAAAAAGGTATTTAATCTTTAAAAAACTTTTATATACAAGCGAAATGCGTGCGGGTGTGCGTGTGTGTGCGTGCGGTGGAGAGTAACGAGGGAGTGTGAGGGGAGGGGGGAAAATTTTCATTTGCTCAACCTTAAACATCATTAAAAAATTCATTATTATTACGATAATTAATTAATTTTAAATTAATTAGTTAATAATTCTTTATTATTATTATTATTATTACCATTATTATTATTATTACAACAACAACAAAATTACTCGTTTCCTTCTCCCGTAAATTTAAATTTACGACCGTGAAAAACTGAACAACAACAACAAAAACAATCGACTTTGTATACCAGATCGTAAATCGTTTCCGTGACGCCATCAAAAAAAAAAACAAACAAAAATCGATGACGTCAAATTTCACTTATTTCGCTCTTAAAAAATGATTTCTCTCTCGCCGAATTAAATTCGTAATCTCCCTGCCCCCCAGTCCCCCTAACTAAAAATAAAATTTTCTCGAAAAAAAAAAAACACGAAGACGTGGAATCGATCGATAGATCGATCGATTGATCGATCGTTCGATCAAATAAAAAATTCACGATTTTAATATTTAAAACTTCATCATCGTCGGGAAGAAATTGTCGTGTGGGGGTGGGGAGGGGGGCGGAGTCGCAAACGCGATAAATTTCTATCCTTGAATTTTAAAGTTTAAAAAAAAACCTTGAAAAATCATTTGGTCAATAAATAATTTATTTATTGACGTTTGTTTTGTCCGATTGATTTCCGAATGCAATAATAATAATAATAATAACAGTCGCCGGATATGTACA